GAGAGGGAGAGGGAGAGGGAGAGGGAGAGGGAGAGGGAGAGGGAGAGGGAGAGGGAGAGGGAGAGGGAGAGGGAGAGGGAGAGGGAGTAGAGGGAGGAGAGGGAGAGGGAGAGAGAACTGGAAGAGACAACTAGAAGGGGCTTTGAGATAGAATCCTGGGACAATGGAAACTCCTGAGAATCTATGAGAGTGACCCAACCTAAGATTCTTAGTAATGGAATACAGAGCCTACACTGGCCGTCTTCTTTAACCAGGCAAGACTTCCAGTGGACAGGTACCCAACCACACCTACCCAACCACAAAACCTTCAACCTACAGTTTGTCCTGTTTGCAGTTCTGGGATTGGAACCTAGCATAATTATCACCTGAGAGACCAGAGAAACTTCACTCAGCAACAGATGGGAGCAGGTGCTGAGTCCCACAGCAACACATTAGGTGGAGCTTGAGGATTCCTGTGAAGGAGAAGGAGAAAGACTCTTTAGAAGAACCAGAGGGTTCAGAAACATTACAAGAACACAGCCCAGAGTCAACTGACTGGGCTCACAGAAATCAGGTAGCACTTAGGGGTCTGACTTAGATTCTCTGCAAATATATAATAGATGAATAGCTTGATGTTCTTGTGGAATTCCTAACATTGGGGACAGGGGTTGTTTCTGACTCTTTGGTCTGCTTGTGAAACTCTTTTCCTCCTACTTGTTTGCCTTCTCTAGGGTTGATGTGATGGTATGTGCCTAAACTTATTGTAGCTTGTTAGACCATGTTTGGTTGATGACCCTGAGAGGCATGCTTTCTTCTGATGGTAGGTGGAAGGGTTAGAGGGGAAAGGCTGGAGGGATGGAAGGGGGGAAAGGGCTGTTGAGAGAAGAACAAATTAAAAAATCTAAAAAGGTGCAACTCTATAGTCTATCACTTTTAGAAAACACTCTGTCATTTTTAAAATAGTCAACAGTTTTGTTGTATGAATTATTTATCTAAAGAATAACACTTTTTAAAATTGAATGACAGCAAAATGCACTAAATTAGCAATTTTTCTTGCACAAATGAACTTATGTATATTTGTTTGCATGAAAAATTATGAACTTTATTTTAGCTTTTCTTTTAGATTTCAGTGTTGCATACACATAAATATATAGTCATTTTATACTACAATCCTCTGTATCTCACTACTGGCACATTTATTTTTAATTCCTTGAAGAATTTCTGATAAAGTCCTATGCATAATTCATGAAAATTATATACTCATACTATTGACATAGCAAGAAACTTTAGGAAAGACCTTTTTGGTTTCATATTAAAATGATAGATTGATCTTGTTATGGAGCATAGTTTACCAAAATAAAAAAGGCCAATGGTTTTATCTAACCCTATCCTTGTATATCTCATATTGGAGAAAGAATTACAAGGGAGGCTATGAAATAAGAATATGTATGATTAAATTGTAGCATGTAAATCATGTTTTCATAAAATTTATGTAATTTTTTACAGTTTTCATTTCTCAACTCTGTACAATAAAGTATAACTCTATTACCCACTGCATGCCTGTGTATATGAAAGAGTAGAGCATATACTATTCTCACAATGATTGTATAGATATGATAGCAGCATTTTTGTTTCTCCTTATGGATAAAAATACAGACACAATAGGTGAGCAGGTATTACTACTTGTTATTAACTGTATCATGAGAATAGATATAGTTTGATAAATTTTTCCAGATAGAGCACCAAGGAAAGATCAAAGAAATGAAATCTACCCAATTATAACTTAGTGAACCCATGTTTTTAATCATGGTTATTTATAGAACATGAGTGAAGGTTTATATACTGGCATATAAGCAACTTCCAGGTGGCTGCATCAGTGAAGAAAGTTTTTCTTCGACCCAAAAAAGGTCAATTGCCTATAAATCTTTAATGAAGGTTAGGGATTCCTGAGTCTTTTACCAGTTCCATGATAGAACATTATAGCATAGATGTTAAGAACACAAAGGGCCATATCATAGACAAAGTACACTATTCCACAGCAAATATTTTTGCTATTTCCAGCATAGACAACACAAATAAATACATGTTAAATTCCATTTTCTGAAATGTATGAGATCATACATGCTCTTTTTCTGCTAGAATATTTATTTGCATGTGGGTCTGGGAATCCAGCCTGGAGCAAGAGTCAAGGCATGTCCAAACCCTAGAAAATGACAGGAGTAGGGTTGTACCATCCTCTGCTTCCAGCCTGCATGTCTCAGTACAGGTAGTACTGTCCTCTCACCTTTGCCAACTAGAGGAGGTCAAGCTGCCCAGTAAACTTCCTGTCTCCTTAAAAAGTCATGTCCAGCAGCATGTTGAACTCCTCCTTATACAAATGAGGCATCCTCAGCACTCTGGCCCTGGCCAATGATATACATTTACCCCAAAAGCCTCTATCCATCCTCAAATGTGTAAGTAGCTTTTATTCCCCCATTAAATGAGTTGTCTCACTGAAGCTGTCTCCTTAGAGTCTGCTTTCATAATTCTCATAGCTTCCAGAGTTATCTCCATTCTCCTAGCAGTTCCCAACTTGTCCACTGGCTTAGGATCCTCCTCCAGTCTAAATCATAGACCAATCACACAGCTCTGAGTAGGAATGATGTACCTCAATAGAATTTAAAATGGATAGTGTGATGTTTCAGAGATGAGACCTAATTTGTCTACAGTTTCTTATGTAAATAACATAAAATAATTTTATAAAAGAACTTTAGAGAATCTGTGTTTTCTCTACATCCTGCCACATGATATGCTTCCTTTAAGGAGGTATGAAGGGCTTAAATAAGAGTTCATGGCTAAGATAGAACTACCATATGATACAACTATAAAATTAAAGTCAGCATACAATAGACGTCTATGTTGATTGCCACATAATTCTTGATAGTAAAGAAGTAAAAGCAGAGTACATGCTCACAGAACATGAGTGGATAATGAAAACATGGTATAGAAATGCAGTAGAATATTTTTAAGCCATAACAAATATAAACTTGTTGTTTCCTAGAAAATGGATTGAACTCATTATCTTCATGTTAATTTAAGAAATTATGTTCAAAAAAAGAAACATTTTATATTCATTCTCTTTGAAAATGAAACAAGATTAAGATGGGATCATCAAAGTAGAACAAGAAAAATTTAGGAAAGTAACTCCAGGAGACAAAATGGTACTAGAGAAATAATAGAAGGATAAACAACATCAAAGTGTTTTATATATGTGTGTATTAGAATATTTCTTGTTGCTGTGACAAAATATCTGACATAAACTTCTTAAAGTGAAAAACTTAGCTTTGGCTCTCTCTGTCAGAAAGATCCTGTACACTTGGTCCCATCTATTTGGGCAAAGCATCACTCATGTTGACCATACCAAGTAGGATATTCTCTTTCTTATTGCTTCAT